AATAGATAACTAGAAAAGATTGAGGAAACAAATATATGTATATGGAAAAATAAAAAATCAGACCAATAGAAAGTAATTATTTCATAATAATGTTTATTAATCTTTGGCATGTAACTTGAAATACTCCCTTACATTTTTAGGTCTGTGATCATTTTATTTTTTTTATTTTTTTTAAGATTTTATTTATTTGACAAACAGAGATCACAAGTAGACAGAGAGGTAGGCAGAGAGAGAGGGAGGAAGCAGGCTCCCTGCTGAGCAGACAGCCCAATGCAGGACTCGCTCCCAGGACCCTGAGATCATGACCTGATCCGAAGGCAGAGGCGTAACCCACTGAGCCACCCAGGTGCCCCAGGTCTGTGATCATTTTAGGCCGTACTAATCTTTCATATGTTATAGAGTAGTTTGACAAAATATGTATGAACAAAAGAGATTTTAGTAGGGAGTGATGACAGCCTTGTCAAATGAAGAAGTGACTAGATTATATTATATCCAGTTATCTCACTCACAGGATGAAGGTTGCACTGTGAGGCTTGTAAAATAAAAATGGAAAGCTTTCATTTTGTAGGAAGGAGGAGTGTTATTTGTTATATACTGTCTTTGTAAACACATCCCATTGGATGTGAGATCCCTATACCCATTCTTCTGGAAACAGAGTCTATTATTAAGAATCAACCCCCTTACTCTCTTGGCATCTCTTAGAATCAGCTTTTAGGTGTAGGACAAAAAAAAAATCTTGGGTGGTTCAGCACTCTATAATTCCATAAAGTTTCTTTTAAGATTTAATTTTTTTTATTTGAGATAGAAAGAGCAAGAGAGAGCAAAAGAAAGCAAGTAAGACCTGCAGGGTATGGTGGGAGAGGGAGGAGCAGACTTCCTGCTGAGCAGAGAGCTCAACCCGGGGCTTGATTCCAGGACCACTGAGATCATGACCTGAGCTGAAGGCAGATGCTTAACCAACTGAGCCACCCAGGCACCCCTCTATGAAGTCTTTTAATGTAAAAAGGCTTCTCAATGTATAGTGTTTGTGAATTAATTGGATAACTTTTTTTCTTCAATCCAGAAAATCCCTCTTAAGCAACTCACAAATCGTATTTTTAGATGCATAAATCACAAATTTCTCTAGGGGAAAACTACTCTATGACTTCAATACCATTAAAGATGCAAAAAGTAGCCTCTGAACTCTCATAAATTTAAGCAAATTGATCACTTCTCTACATGGAAAACCATCTTAAAGTACTTTAAAAAGGCTATTAATCTTGCTTACGAACAAGCTCATGGACTCTGAGTCAGAAAAGTCATTGGAAATCATGTAGTTCAGAGGATAGGATACTTCTTCTGTAAAGGACTAGTTCTTAAATATTTGGGGCTTTTCAGGCCAAAACACTATCTCCTCAACTGTTGAAGGAACTGTTCCCCATGATGTGCCAATAGACTTTTTGCACTTCACTTTTTTACAATTTTAAAGCATGAAAGTCTTCCTTTGCTCTTAGGGCATACAAAAACAGAGAGTAGGCTGGATTTAGCTCACAGGGCATAGTTTATCAACATTTCATCTAACTCATTTTTTTTTCTTAAACTAGGCTATACTTACTTAGGGTGGTTGTTGAAAATACTTGGATATTCTGGCTTCTTTCCTTGACATCAAATTGTAAATGGGCATTCTTACTAATGATACTTTCCCAAAGTAAACCGCTAGGGAAATGTACAATGTACAGTGGTGGGGATAGCTTACCAAAAGGAGGACCACTTAAGAATTAAGTTTCATGACTACAGGCCCTACTTCTTTTAGAAACTGAAGGGGCTCCTTGCCGTGAACTATCCCTGCTCCCCTTAAACTCCCTATTTACCTTAAAATCCTCAAAATTTTACAATTCACATGCTTTGACTTCCTTTTTAAGTAATTGCATTAAGGATTAACATTAGTTACACAATGATACTTTTTACTAGAAAAGCACAGATTATGGAGAAAAAGCTTCCTATATAATATAGCTTGTTAATGAAACCCTTTCATTATTTTCCCATTCCCCATGCACTTGGGGGTTCACCTGGGAGTCATCTTTTACACTCTGAGGCCTACATAACCCATGAGTCCATTTGTTTTAGAACAATGGCTAATTAGGATACAACTGTATATTATAGGTGTGTGGCCATGGCATTGATGTCATCGTATAAAGAAATGGTCTAATAAATTTCTTCATCTTTATAACTAAACTAATTTTTCAAGATTATAGAATGAAATTACAACTTAGTTCTATATAAGATGCAGTAAAATAGCAGATATAGATAAAGGAAAAACAAGGATATACACCTTTACACAGAGCTTTACAGGCTTAACTGAAAATTGGTTTAGTGTACAGCATAAAACAGTAGAGTAAAATAAGTCAAGCAGAGAAAGACAATTATCATATGGTTTTACTCATATGTGGAACATTAGGAATAGTGTGGAAGACCATAGGGGAATGGAGGGAAAACTGAATGGGAAGAAATCAGAGAGGGAGACAAATTGTGAGAGACTTTGGACTCTGGGAAACAAACTGAGGGTTACAGAAGGGAGGGGGGTTGGGGGGATAAGGTAAGCAGGTAATGGGTGTTAAAGAGGGCATGTGTTGTGATGAGCACTGGGTTTTATATGCAACTAATAAATCATTGAACACTACATCAAAAACTAATGATGTTCTACTATGTGTTGACTAACTGAACATAATTAAAAAAAAACCTGTAGAATTAATATTCTTTAGAGGAAAGAAGCAACTGTCTAGAAAGAGGGGGCAACTTTATATAGATTCATTAGTTGGACACATTTATTTAACAATCTATTTGAATTTGGTTTTCACAACAATTTTTTTCTCTCGATTAAAATGTCTCAGTACTGTACAGAATTACAGTTCTCAGGAAAGGACAGTCTTGGAGATAAAGGTAGATTAGCTTTTACAGGGTTCTAATTAATGAACTTGTAAATATCCTTCCCCCTCTTTTGATGCTAGTTGAAGTTTAATTAACTAGCAAAAATATATTTCAAAAGTGTCATCTCTAGAAAGTGGTATTACTGGGAAGAACACTTAAACTTTCTAATACTCTGTACCATCTTTGAAGGTATTCCTGCTAAGGAACATATTTGGTTTAGTATTCCAAAAGGCAGTCATAGTACCCAAAACTTCAGGCAGTATGCCAATCTTAGATAACCACTGTGAATTCCATATTTACTGTATTTTCTGTTAGAGCTTTTTATCAATGTAGTAGAATATGTAGCTGCCCTAGGTTCTTTTGGAAAGAGTAGAAACATTACCTGTATAATTCCTCAGGTGGCCTGGTAGCCTGATAAATATAATACATGAAAATATGTTAGTTACCAATTTATAAAGGCAAATATTATTTTATTAAGCATATATTATGTATAGTTGAATAAAATATTTTAATATTTTTAAAAAAGATTTTAATTATTTATTTGAGAGAGAGAGAGAGAACGAGCACAGTGGGGCAGAGGGAGAAGCAGACTCTCTCCTGAGCAGGGAGCCTGATGCAGTGCTTGATCTTGCGACTCCAGTAACCCTACCTGAGCAGAAGGCAGATGTTTAACTGAGCTACCCAGGCACACCTTGAATAAAATCTGCTTGTATTTTTATTCACCCTTTAATTTTTATCTTGACTTTCAAGCTGATGAAAATTAGTGAATTGCAATAATAATGGAAAAGCTATTACTATGATTTGAGAATAGGAGTCAAAGAAATTCTGCATACTGACATGTTTTAGATCAATGTTTAGAAGCACCTGAAGTTTGTTATCTGTTTTCCCCAGGTTGTGCAAATGTCAATATTTTTCATGTTTGTTTGCCATGTAAATCAAAATTACCTATTTCTTATGTTAATCTTTTACATTTTATGTCTTTACCTGTTTTCATAGTGAGTGTTTTCTCTTAATCATTATCTCATGTGAGCTTCATAATTATCTGCTGAGACAGGAGATTCCAAACCATTTATTATAATCGATTGGAGAGTATATTAAACCTCATGGAATATTTTTTCTTATATCATACCTAAATTAAATGTTATAAGTCTATAATTTTTTGCTCAGTTTTCATTGAAAATGAAATAAAGCTTTTTGCATAGATAAAATTCATTTTGATCATTCTTCAACGTTCTTTTCTGTGCTTGGACTCTTTACCTAAAAGACATACTTATTAGGTATGTTCTACTTTGAAGCTAACAGTGGAATATTAACAGTAATTATGATGTCTGTGAGAATCCTTTTGGTTGAAAAGAACAAAACCCTATTCATACTAGCTTGAGCAAAAACGAAAAGGTCTGATAAGAACTCAAGCCAGGGATCATGATTACCATGGAGAACTCAAGGGCAGAAAGTAAAGTTAACACTTAGGAGGAACTGTAATCAAGAAAAATGTTTTCATCTGTTTCTCTAGAGGCATATGTTCTCTTGTTTCAACCTCCTTTATTTATGGCTGTTTTACTCTTCACATTCTCTACACAAATGGCTTTTTTCTACTTCTCTAGGCATATGACAAACATTGTTTTGTTGTTGTTGTTGTTTTTGTGGTGCCTAAGATTGCCTATCCCCTTTTCAAACAACCAGCAGAATAACAACAAGAATAACAAACAAACAAATAACTTCTGAATTCTAACTCTAAATCCCCAGGAAAGAGAATCTGCCCCAATTTGGGTCAAATTCCAGCTTCATACAACCAAGGGACTGGGTAACAGAGTACCAATGCAGTATTGGAAATGGCCATTAGTTCTAGGAAAAGTAGAGGCTAGGAAGCTACCTCATAATATATCTATCATGTTCACCCTTATACTTAAATATTAGTTCTGAAGTTTTACTTTTTTGGAGAGGTTCTCACCATGACTTACCCTTAAGCACAAGTACAGCTAATTAAGTGTTATCTTCCCCTCAATCAAAATTCCTCAGTGTTCTGTGTTTCATCGTAAATCCACCTGAGAAAGTATAACTTGGTTTATGATTTTTTCGCTTTTGCTTTGCAGCCAATAACTACAATTAGTTCATCAAGTGAACCTGTATTTACACTTCAACATGTGTCCCTTCCAATTGAAATAGCACCTGACAAATTTGAATATTTTTCCCTAAAAAGGCTCAATGCTCTAAGGTAAGCCTCACTAATAACCAGATCTACAAACATACAATCTTAACTTGAAGTAGAATATAAAAATAGTTTGTTTTATCTCCTGCTACATTTTTAACATGATATTCAATTCCCAAAATAATGATGCATTAATTAGACAGGGACAAGAAAATAATACATTGCAAGGAAGTATCCTAGGCAATCTATCAGTTGTAATGGAGAACAGTTAATGTGAGGGTAAATTCAAGTAAGTGTAAAACCTGCTTACACTGATATTCTTCCAGTTTGTTCACAAGAATGTTGGTGGTGTTTCTTGCTTTCTACAGTCTAATAGATAGAAATATATACTCTATAATATTTTCCTACAGAGAGGTTTTCAACAAAGAAAATATTTGACATTTAACATTTGATGAATATTTTTAAGGTGTTCATGTTTGTCTTTTCTTCAAGTAATGAAAGAGCAGTTACGGTGTCACATGATGAAGGAAGCAAGTCCGAAACAGAAGCTTCAGACACAAAAATTTCTGAAACTTCAGCTGGTTCTTTGGACTATAAAAGTCTCCAGGACCTAACAATAATTGAAAATGACACCCCGCCACTGGACTCTGGCTCTGAAAGATGTGTGATTGATTCTGACTCTGATAGAGGCATTGGTTTGGAATCTGACTTAGAAGAACACTTAAAAGACTCTGAGTCAGTAATATGGGGAATGGACTCAGACTCAGAAAAATGTCCCATGGCCTCAAACTCAATGAAATACCTGCTAGAAGCAGAAAAATGCCAGATGGCTTCAGGATCTTTGAAAGATCTGATAGAGTCAGAACAACAACTAGAGGGAATTGAGCAATCTCAGATGGACTTTGACTCTTTGAAATACTGGATGGACTCAGATTCAGAAAAATACTTGGCAGACTCTGACTCTGAAAAATATGTGTTGAACTCTGACAATGAAAGATCAGAAATGGATTCAGATACAGAAAAATGTCCAATTGCTTCTGCATCTGTGAAACACCTGCTGAAGGCAGAAAAATGCCAAATCGCTTTAGATTCTGTAAAACGCCTGATAGAATCTGAAAAAAGACTGATGGAGACCAAACAAAGTTGGATGCTCTCTGATTCTAAGAGGGATGTGATGGACTCAGACATGGATAGGTATGGAATGGACTCAGCATCTGCATCTGAGGTGCATCTAATGGGGGAAGAAAAACACCAGGAAAAGATTAGATCTAAGAGACATAGGACAGACTCTGATTCTGAACCATGTGAGATGGACTCAGGCTCAGAAAGATATGGGCCAGCCTCAGCAGCTGTGGAACGTGTCATGGATGCCAGCACTGACATTGAGGGGCACTGGATGGATTCTTGGTCTGAAAAGCGTACAATGGACTTAGATTCTGAAAGCCTGGGGATAGTCTCTGATTCTACAAAACACATGATGAAGGTTGAAGATTGCCAAAAGGCCTCTGACTTGGAAGGATTATGGATGGGCTTCAGGTTTGAATCTAAAAGATGCTTGGCTGTCTCTGAAAGACAAAAATTGGACTTTGACTCTGATAGTTGTCAGGATAGCTCTAGAAAATCTCACTTTAGGTCTGAAAGACTTCAGCATATCTCTGAAAAATATAGAGATGATCTTCAAAAAAATGAGTTTGAAAGTGAAACACACATGATGGAGATGGAGAAGGAACAGTGTTTGATATTTGAAAATAAGAGACTTCAAATGGATGAAGAGATGAAAAGATCTCTCATGTGGTCTGACAGTGAACAAGAGCACAAGATTGTATCTGACAATGAAAGACACCACATTGACTCAGAAAATGAAGCACAAAGGCTAGGTGCTCGCAAGAAGGGTAATCGTCCTCAGGGTAAGCTTAAATGAATGTGGCTTTTGAAAGTAGCTTGTTTACAAGTGTAATTAATAATAGGATGACACTTTCAATATGTCAGTAGCGTTAACAGATTTCATAAGAAACTCAGAGAAAAGGCATTTTAATCCTAGATTTCCATTCAGTTTATTTTTAATTTTTTTCATTTTTTAATTTAAATCCAATCAGACAACATATAGTACATATTAGGTTCAGACGTAGTGTTCAATAATTCATCAGTTGCATATAACACCACATGCTTTTTAAAAAAATAGGCAAATACATTCTGTCTGCCAGTGCTCTCTCTCTCTTTCTCTCTCTCTCTCTCTGACAAATAAATAAATAAATAAATAATAAAATAAAAAATTAAAAATAGGCAAATAGGGGAACCTGGCTGGCTCAGTCAGTAAAGCATGTGACTCTTGATCCTGGGGTTGTAAGCTCAATTTCCATGTTGGGTGTAGAAATTATTTAAAATAAAATCTTTATAAAAATTGAGGCAAATCATCTCTCTTCAGTTATCTGCTTCTTAAAAGAAGAAAAATTAGAGAATTATTAGCAAGGACGGTTATTGTGGCCTAGAAAACAACATGTTAAATTTTGTTCCCATTATTCTGGAATGGGTGAATAGAGATTGCCATAAACTTTTCCCCACTATTAGTTGCTGTGAAAAGAAGTAAGTATCCAAGTCTAACTATATAAACATCCAGCTTAACTTGCTTTTCTCAAAATTATTCCCAATTATTATAAAATTATTATTAATTTTTTTAAAGATTTTTTTTTATTTATTTGTCAGGGACAGAGGGAGAGAGCGAGCGAGCACAGGCAGACAGAGAGGCAGGCAGAGGCAGAGGGAGAAGTAGGTTCCCTGCTAAGCAAGGAGCCCGATGTGGGACTCGATCCCAGGATACTGGGATCATGACCTGAGCCGAAGGCAGCCGCTTAACCAACTGAGCCACCCAGGCGTCCCTATTATAAAATTATTATAAAAATTATAAAATAATTATATATAATGATTACAAATATTTATAAAATAATAAAAATATTATAACAGCTTCATAATTTTCAATAAATAGTTGGCTTTTACCTTGTTAGTCACATTTACTTTATCACATTAAGTTATAATTCTCCCTTTCCTAAGCCATTGTATTAAGGTATGCTTAAGACGAACTATTATCATTTCAGAAAATGTTTTTCTTCATATTAATAATCATTTTCTACAGAGTCTTACAATTCAAGGCATGGAAAGAAAACTAAGAACTTGACCCCAAAACATTCATAAGAAAACTTCCTTCTGAAAATATAAAAAGTTTTGTGCTTCAATAGACTCCAGTGACTTTTCAAAAATAGAGTATTTGAAATAATATATATTTAATGTATGATCATTGTTTCCTATTTTAATATGCTATTTACACATAAGTCTTTGAAATTGTCCTATATAATACTGACTTATCCATATAATATATTTTTAAAGTAGAGTAACACGTGTGAACTCATTAAATGTGAATTCATTACACATGTGAATTCATTAAAACCTTACAGCAACCCTAGTAGGTAGGCACTATTATCATTTCTAGTTTACCAGTGAAAAAACTGAGGCACAAAGAAGTTATATAATTAACCAAAGTAACACAATAAATGACAGGACATGAACCCATGCTCCAAAATCTATGTTGTTAAACATGAAGATATACTATCTTTCTGCTAAGAAGAAAGTATTATCCCAATTTTACAGTGACAACAGTAAAATGAAAATATTCAAGTGACTTTATCTGGACTTCAAAACGGTTTATCTGATTCCAGAGCCTGAGTTCTTAAGTTTGTTACTTATATCTCAACTCTTGTTTAACTTCATGTTCTTCTAGTTTAGAAAGAGCTACTACAGTACAGCATTATTATACCTGCTTCAAAAATGAGGAAACTGAGGCTCAAACAGACTACTTCCCTACATGTCACATAAGTAATTAGTGGTTAAGCTAGAGCATAGAAACTCCTAGTCTAATGTTATCTCAACTACGTCGATGACTTCATGAAGTTTATAATCTAACTGAGAAAATACTACTCCACATGAAACCGGTCAATTAATTACACTTTAGCTGAGCCCAATTTTTTATAAAAGGCTTTGAAACATTTTAAATATTTGCAGTTAGACTGTATCTAATTTGTGGACTATTATTACTGCAAAACATGCATTGGGATATGGTCCATTCATAGGTGACACCTTTCATATATAAAACCAAAATTTTTCTAGCTGCTTTCACCCATCTTCAGCTGTTATATGTTGACAATATAAACTGATAGGCTAAATGTGATTTTTTCAATCCTAGAAATAAAGTTGAAGCCCATGGGTATAGAAAAATTACTCTTTGTGCTACTTATGCTCACTCCCAAATGAACAATACACTCTTCTTTTTTTTTAATTAAAAATTTTTTTTTTGTTTATTTGACAGAGATCACAAGCAGGCAGAGAGGCAGGCGGGAGTGGGGCGTGGGCGGGGGGGGGGGGGGGGGAGCAGGCTCCCCGCTGAGCAGAGAGCCCGACTCACTCGGGACCCTGAGACCAAGACCCAAGCGGAAGGCAGAGGCTTTAACCCTCTGAGCCACCCAGGCGTCCCCCCCAATACACTCTTCTTAAAGTTAGCTTGCACTGTGTCTGTCCCTTCTCTAGCTGTCATATGGTAAAGAGATAGGAAAAATGGCTTTACTGCATGTCCCAGGTCGAAAATTAAGTGGTTTTTTTTTTGTTCCTCTGACCATGGATTTTAAATGACAATAGTTTTTTTAAATGAATAGTTGGTTACAAAGCACGTGTTTTCTGAGATTAAGAGTCTCTTATGGTTGTCTCCCTCCCCGATCCTATCTTGTTGCTGAGGGGTGAAGGTGAGGGATAGGGTGGCTGGGTTATGGACACTGGGGAGGGTACATGCTATGGTGAGTGCTGTGAATTGTGTAAGACTGGTGATTCACAGACCTGTACCCCTGAAGCAAATAATACATTATATGTTAATTTAAAAAACACGTGTTTTTTAAAGATTTTATTAATTTATTTGAGCGAGAGAGAGTATGAGCAGAGGAGGGGCAGAGAGAGAGGGAGAATCAGGCTACCCACTGAGCAGGGAGCCAGAGGTGGGGCTAAATCCCAGAACCCTGGAATCATGACCTGAGCCAAAGTCAGATATTTAAATGACTGAGCCACACAGGCACCCCACAAAACACATTTTTATTTTATCTTTTTTTATAAAATGCCTTTCCTGAGAACAGTATGAAGCTCATTAATAACAACACATATATTCAACTTCTATGCTTATGTGATAATTATGTTTAGAATTTTTGGTATACTTTAAATTTTTATACCAAGTACTATCGTTTTTGTATTACTGAAGTCCCCATCGTTTTATATGAACATATTTCCATATCTTCTCACCCCCATACCCTGCCATAGCCTATTGTTAGTCATTTTTTTAAACATTAATTTTTTTTAAGAATTTTTATTTATCTATTTGACAGAGATCACAAGTAGGCAGACAGCAGTCGGGCTCTCTGCTCAGTAGAGAGAGAGAGGAGGAAGTAGAGAGAGAGAGGAGGAAGCAGGCTCCCTGCTGAGCAGAGAGCCTGATGTGGGGCTTGATTCCAGGACCCTGAGATCATGACTTGAGCCAAAGGCAGAGGCTTTAACCCACTGAGCCACCCAGGTGCCCCTTGTTAGTCATTTTTTAAAAATATTTTTATTTATTTATTTGACAGACAAAGATCACAAGTAGGCAGAGAGGCAGGCGGCGGGGCGGGGCGGGGAGGAGGCTCTCTGCCAAGCAGGGAGCCCAATGCAGGGCTCGATCCCAGGACCCTGAGATTATGACCTGAGCCAAAGGCAGAGGATTTAATCCACTGAGCCTCCCAGGTGCCCCAGCTATTTTTTTCATTAAAAAAATTGTGGTAAACTATATATAACATAAAACTTACCATGTTGACCTTTTTTAAAGTGTACAGTTCAATGGCATATACATTCATGTTGTTGTACAACCAGTCTCCAGAACTTTTTTCATCTTGTGAAATAAATTTTACACCCATTAAACAGTAACTTCCCATTTCCCTCTTTCCTCAGTCTCTAGCAACCACCATTCTATTTCCTTTCTCTAGGAATTCTTTAAGTTTTTAAGATCCAGTTGGCTAACATACAGTATAATATTAGTTTCAGTGTAATATTAATTTCACTGAATTACAATTTAGTGATTTAACACTTCATACAACACCTGGAGCCCATCACAAGTGCACTTATTAATCCCCATCACCTATTTAACCCATCCCCCTATCCACCTCCTGCTTATAGCTATCAGTTTGTTCTCTGCAGTTAAGAGTCTGTTTCTTGGTTTGCCACTCTATTTTTTCCCTGTGCTGGTTTGTTTCCTTTCTCTATGATTTTGACTAAGCTTCTCATATAACTATTTATTTCATGTACAATATTTTTGCCTCCTGTCTTTAATCAGCATAATGTCCTTGAATTCATCCATGTTGTTGCATATGTCAGAATTTCCTTCCTTTTTAATAATAAATAATATTCTATTATGTGGATATACCAGATTTGTTTATCCATTCATCTGTCCCTGGATAGATGATTGTGCTGTGTAGCTGCCATTTTGGGCTTTTGTGAACAATACCACTATGAATATGAGTGTGTAAACATCTCTTTGAGATCCTGCTTTCATTTTGGGGATATATAATCAAAGGATAATTTTTGGATCATATGATAATTACATTTTTTTATTTTGGGGGGAATTGCCATTCTGTTTTCTATAATGGCTGTACTGTTCTACATTCACACTAACAGTGCACAAGGGTTCCAATACCTATACCATTTCACATCCCCACAAACACTCATTTTTTGTGTTTTCGATAGTAATGATCTTAATGGGTACTTCTTAGGCAATTTTACACCCAGTATTTCATTTATTAGGACAATAACTGTCTACAGACTTTTTAGAGGAGGTGAACTGAGAATCTGCTGAATTTTTACATGAGGCAAATATATCACCAGTATATGGTAGAATTTTTTAAAAGATTTTATTTATTTTGAGAGAGTGAGAGGGGGGAAGGAGAGAGAGAGAGAGTGTGTGTGTGTATGTGGGGAGGGGCAGAGACAAAGGGAGAGAAATAATCTCAAGCAGACCCCCATGCTGAGCACAGAGCCCAGTGCAAGGCTTGATTCCACAACACGGATCATGACCTGAGGAGAAATCAAGTCAGGGGCTGAACCAACTGAGCCCCCTAGGCACCCTTATGGCAGTATATTGTTAACTTAGTTTTCAATATTGCTATAATAAACTCCATGAAAATTGGGAAGATGATCCCCATTGCTAATAAATATAGTATTTGAAGAAAAATAGTATTATCAGAAATTTTTTTTCACTGCAGAATCATACAAACTTTTCCTTTCTACAATCTTATTTTATTAGGAATTGGAAAATAATTGAGTCTTTTTAATATGTTAACAGGTTTTTGGAGGCCTGTTTTCCCGTCACCACCATTTAGCCAAAGAAAGGAAACTAAAGAACAAAATACTGTACGACAAATTGATAACAAAGGTGAGTATATTCGATGGAAATTGCCTAATGATTTTATATATTTTCTGTCAATATTTAGAAAAATTTAAGTCAGGATTTATTGTATCAGGGATCCCCAAGGCAATATCCAGAACAATCATTCTTTAGGAGGATTCACTGGACTCCGCATACAGTAGTACTCAAGGTTAAACTTTTCTACAGCAAAAGATCATACAATAAAATAAAATCAGTAATGAGAAAAGGCACATAGAGTGAAAATTAACAGAAACTAGTTACAAGGTTCCAAGAGTCCTTTCCCAGTGGAGTCATGCAAGATTCATTTAATTTATCCACCAAGTTATGACAACACATGTGAGATGCTGTCTGCCAGGGAAACTCATTAGTTTGTCAGTATCCAGAGTAGGGTTTTTTTTTAAATATCTTTCCTGAGATAATTCATCCATTCAACTATGTAATTCAGTGTATTTTTAAAAATTTTTTAAATTTTTTAAAAAAGATTTTATTTATTTATTTGACAGACAGAGATCACAAGTAGGCAGAGAGGCAGGCAGAGAGAGAAAGGGAAGCAGGCTCCCTGCTAAGCAGAGATCCCGATGTGGGGCTCGATCCCAGGACCCTGGGATCATGACCCAAGCCAAAGGCAGAGGCTTTAACCCACTGAGCCACCCAGGCACCCCAAAACTGTAGCTCTAATTCAGTGGTTTTTAAGTATACTCACAGATGTGTGCAATCATCATAACAGTCCCTTTTGGAAAAATTTTATCACCATAAAAGATAACCCTGTACCCTCTAGTTCTTATCTGCCTACCCTTCCCATTCCCCCTAGCCCTAAGGAACCACTAATGTGCTTTCTGTCTCTATAGATTTCCCTATCCTGGACCTTTTATATGAGTGGAATAATATGATATATGACCCTTTGAAACTGCATTCAATCAATTAGTATAATGGTTTCAAGGTTAATCTATAAAGTAGCATGTTTTCATTTCTCTTAAATACATGCATAGGAGAGGAATTGCTGAATTACATGGTTACTACATGTTTAATTGCTTGAAGAATTGCTAAGCTGTTTTCCAAAATTAAAATATAAATTTATACTTCCACCATCATTTTATGAGGATTCCTATTTCTCTACATCCTTGTAAACACTTTTCGTTATCTGACTTTTAAAAAATATTTATTTAGTTATAACATACATGAATGGGGGGAGAGGCAGAGGGAGAAGAGGAGAGAGCACCTCAAGTAGACTCTGTGCTGGGCGCAGAGGCAGACACGGGGCTTGCTCTCATGACCCTCAAATCATGACCTAAGCTGAAATCAAGAGTCAGACACTTAACCAACTGAGCCACCCAGGTGTCATACTTTTAAAATTTTAGCCATCCTAGTTGGTATGAAATATTATTTCATTGATTATTTTGATTTATATTTCCCTAATGACTAATAATGTTGAACATATTTTTATGTGCTTTTTGACCAGTGTATATCTACGTTGGATAAATGTGTATTCAGATTCTCCTTTGTACTCTTATATTTTATTATTTTTTGTTATTGAGTTATAGGAGTTCTTTATGTATGTTAAATACATTTTTTTATCATATATATATATAATTTGCAAATATGTTATACCATTCTTTGGATTTTCTTTTTAGTTTTTGATGGTGTCCTTTGCAATACAAAACTTTTAAACTTTAATGTAGACCAAATTATTGTTTTCCTTTTCCTGCTCATAATTTGGGTGTCATATCTAAGAATCATTTGCCCAATCCAAGATTGTGAAGATTTATAGCTACATTAATTTCTAATAATTTTATGCTTTTAGTTCTTACGTTTAGTTATTTCATGCATTTTGAGTTAGTTTTTCTCTATGGTGTGATGTGAGGGAACAATTCATTCTTTTGCATGTGATTGTCCATTTGACTCAATACCACTTGTTGAAGAGACTGTTTTTCCCCATGGAATTGTACTGGCTCCTTGTCAAAAATCCATGGTTTTATTTCTGGATCTCAGTTTTAGTCCCTTGATCTGTAGGCCTGTCTTTGTGCCATTACCACATTGTCTTACCTTTGCTTTATAATATGTTTTGAAATCTGGGAGTATATATACTCCTACTTTGTTCTTTTTTAGGACTGTTTTGGCTTTGTTAGGTCCATTACAATTACATATAAGTTTTAGGACCAGCTTGTTGATTCATTAAAAGAAGTCAAGTGAGATTCTGATAGAGATTGTGTTGATCTGTAGATTAATTTGTAAAGTATTACCATTCAACAATATTAAGTCTTCTGATCCACAAACATGGAATGCTTCCCATTAATTTAGATCTTTTAAAATTTCTTTCAATAATATTTTATACTTTTTAAAGTATGGTTTTTGAACATATTTTATTAAATTTGTTGGAAAATTTTAATTTTTAATGCTATTATAAATGGAATTTTTTATTTTTTTCAAATATTCTTCATTGCAAGTATATAGAAATAAAATTGATTTTTTTCAAGTTTTTATTTAAATTCCAGTTAGTTAACATACAGTGTAATATTACTTTCAGGTATAAAATTTAGTGACTCATCCTTTACATACAACACCCAGTGTTCATCACAAGTGCCTTCCTTAATACCCCTCAAACATTTAATCTTCTCCTCATCTGCCTCCTCTCCAGTAATGCTTAGTTTGTTCTCCTTAGGTATGAGTGTCTTCTGGTTTGCCTTTTTTTTCAGTATGTTCCTCTTTTTTGTTTCTTAAATTCCATATGTGAGTAAAATCATATGGCATTTGTCTTTCTTCGACTGACTTAGTTAACATTATACTCTCTAGTTCCATCCATATTGTTGAAAATGGCAAGATATCATTCTCTTTTATGGCTGAATAATATTCCATTATATATATATGTATACACACACACACACACACACACACACACACATACATACACACACACCACATGTTCTGTATTCATTCATCAGTCATTGGACATTTGGGCTATTTCCGTAATTTGGCTATTGTTATAAAAAAATACTACTGCTATAATAATGCTGCTATAACAATAATGCTGCTATAAATCTCGGGGAGAATGTGCCCCTTCAAATTAGTATTTTCATATCCTTTGGTTAAATTTCTAGTAGTGCAATTGCTAGATCATAGGGTAGTTCTACGTTTGACTTTTTGAGGAAACTCCATACTGTTTTTCAGAATGGCTGCACCAGTTTGCATTACCACAATGTAAGAAGGTTCCCCTTTCTCCACATCGTCTCCAACACCTGTTGCTTCCTGTGTTGTTAATTATAGCCATCATGACAGGTGCAAAGTGATATCTCATTATAGGTTTGGCTTGTATTTCCCTCATAATGAGTGATATTGAGCATTTTTCATGTGTCTGTTAGCCATCTGTATGTCATCTTTGGAGAAATATCTCTTCATGTCTTCTGCCCATTTATTAACTGGATTATTTGATTTTTTTGTTTGTTGAGTTTTATAAATTCTATATATATTTTGGATATTAACACTTTATTGGGTATATCATTTGTAAATATCTTCTCCTATTCAGTAGGTTGCCTTTTAATTCAGTTGATGTTTCCTTTCTGTACAAAAGTTCTTTATTTTGATGATGTCCCAATAGTTTATTTTTGCTTTTGTTTCCCTTGCCTCTGGAGACATTGCTAGAAAAAAAGTTCCTACAGGTAATGTCAAAGAAGTTACTGCCTGTGTTCCAATCTAGAATTTTTATAGTTTCCTGTCACACACTTAGGTCTTTTATCCATTTTGATTTTGTTTTTGTGTCTAGTGTAAAAATGTTGTCCAGTTTCAATCTTTTGCATGTTGCTGTCCAGTTTTCTCAACACCATCTGTTGAAGAGACTGTCTTTTTTCCATTGGATATTTTTTCCTGTTTTCTTCAAGATTAATTGACCATATAAATGTGGGTTCATTTCTGGGTTTTCTGTTCTTTTCCATTGAACTATGTGCCTGTTTTTGTGCCAGTACCTTACTGTTCTGATCACTACAGCTTTGTAAAATAACTTAAAGTCTGGAATTGTGATGCCTCCAGCTTTGCTTTTCTTTTTCAAGATTGCTTTGACTATTTGGCATCTTCTGTGGTTTCATATAAACTTTAGGATTGTTTGTTCTAGCTCTGTGGAAAATATTATTGGTATTTTGATAAGGATTACATTAAATGTATAGATTGCTTTGGATAGTATCTTTAAGTTCAAAATGTGTTTCTTGTAGACAGCATATGGATGGGTTCTATCTTTTTATACAGTCTGCAACCCTGTGCTGTTTTATGGGAGCATTTAAGTCATTCACATTGAGAGGGATTATTGAAAGATAAGGTTTTATTGACATGTTGCCTGTGAAGTCCTTGTTTCTATTGATTGTCTCTGTAAATTTTTGTTCTATTGTCACTCTTGGGTTCTTTGTTCTTTTATAGAAACCCCCCCTTTTATATTTCTTGTAATGCCAGCTTGGTAGTCACATAATTTTTTAGTCTTTTCTAAGTCATAGGAGTTCTTTATCACCATGACCAGATAGGATTTATCCATGGGATGCAAGGGTGGTTCAACATTTACAAATCAATCAGTGTGATAGAACAAATCAATAAGAAAAGAGAGAAGAACCTTGAAAGAACATGGTCCTTTCAATTGATGCCGAAAAAGCATTTGACAGGATATAGCATCTGTTCCTGATTAAAATGATTCAGAGTATAGGTATAGAAGGAACATTCCTCAACTTCATGAAATCTGTCTATGAAGATCCACAGTGAATATCAACCTCAATGGGGAAAAACTGACAGCCTTCTCTTTGAGATCAGGAACACAACAAGGATGTCTCTCCATCCATTCTGAATGTCAGCCTTGCCAGATAGAGTATTCTTGGCTGCGTGTTCTTCTCATTTAGTGCCCTGAACATCTCTTGCCAGCCCTTTCTGGCTTGCCAGGTTTCTGTAGACAGGTCTGATGTTATTCTTATGTTCCTCCCTCTCTATGTAAGGAATCTCTTCCCCCTAGCTGCCTTAAGACATTTTCTCTGAATTTATGATTCATGAATTTCATAATTATATGTCTGGAGGTCTTTCTACCCTCGTCGATCTTGGGGGGTGCCCTCTCTGCCTCTAGGATATGAACATTTGTCCCATTCCTCAGATTATAAAAATTCTCATCTAAGATTTGCTCAACTATGTCTTCTAGTCCTCTCTCTCTCTCCACCCATCAGGTATCCCAATAATTCTGACACTGGAATGTTTCATGGCATCATTTATTTCTCTAATGCTGTTTTCATGACTTCTAATCTGTTTGTTCCAGCCTTCTCCCAATCATTCTTTTCTATTAGTTTGTCTTCTAGACCACTAATTCAATCTTCTGCTTCATTTACCCCAGCTGTTGGAGTATTTAGATTAGATTGGATTTTATTGATAACATTTCTAAGTTCTGCTGCTAGATTAGCTCTCACTTCTGCCCTTAGAGATTCTATGTTGCCACTAATGGTTTTCTCCAACCTAGCCATTGTCTGGATAACTGTTAACCCTGGTTTCTGTTTCCAACATATTATTTATATCCATATCTAATAGTTCTCGGCAGAGGTCACAGTCTCTGAAATTTTCCTCTGTTGAGTGTGCCTCCTCCTAGTCATTCTGATGAGAGGTGGTTGAGGGGATATATAGCTGAAAATACCAAGCATGATCCAGGCAAGGTGCACCCTAGAAAGTTTTGGAGCAATTGGAAGTCACCACATAAAAGAGGGAAAAAAGAAAAAAGAGAGAGAAAAAGAGAAAAAAAGAACAGCCAAAATGAGCCCCAACAATAAGATTTATAAAGTACAAAAAAAAAGAACAAACAAAAAGACCAACAAAAGAAAAAGAAAAGAAAAAGGGAAAAGCCCAGCCAAATGAATCCCAAGAATAAGATTTATAAGGTTCAAAAACAAAAACAAACACACAGAAACACTGACAAAAGAATAAGACGGGAAAGTGGTTATAAACCCTCCATGTGGGCAAGGAAGATTATTTCAGTTTTTCCTGGTTGTACCTTGTTATCTTTGTTAGAGGACTCAACTTGCCAGAGATACAGGGAGATTAAAACTGGTATATATATAGGTGGGGGTAGTATTGAATAGGGGAAAAGGACTACCTTGAACTTATAACTATATATATAAAAAGAAAAAGAAACAAAGGTCTCTGTATGAAAAGAGTTCAAGTTAAAAATTTGCTATGGAATATGTTGTTTTACACATCTAGTTGAAATGTTAAGTAGGTTACAAAAATAAAAGAATGAGAATCATGAGAGCAAATTTTTAAAAAGAGAGAGAAAATTTGTATCTGTGAAATATACAGGCTGTGGGGAAATACTGGGAGCTTAATATAGTGTTCTCCCCTGATGCTGGGGTTTTAAAGTTTTATGGGGATCCTGTGATTGTTGTCCTCTTGTTCTTTTGGCTTGTCTTCTAGGGAAGGGGACTGCCTTGTTGTTTTTCAGTCAGTCTTGCTTGGGCTGAGTTGCCCTGCCCCCTATGACAGGGCTGGGCTTTGTGGAAACTGGTTTTTCAAGCTTTTGTTCTCTGGATGTTTTTGTTCCTTAATGGTTTTTTGCGCCTTTTTGGAGGGTCAGAGCAAAGTAAGCTGTCCACACCCAGACCTCCTCCTCAGAAGAAGCCATAGTCTGCTCCTCTCTGGATGGTCCAGAACACACAGACTTCCCCTCTGCAAACTCCACTGAGCCATCTATCTCCCACAGGCAATGTGCACCCCCAGCCACTGTCTCAGTGGTTGCCCAAGGCCTGCACTTGTCTCTGTACCCCCATGCTACCAAAATCGTGAGGGATACTGGTCTGGGCAAGCCTGGTCCTGGTGTCTGCTGTTCCTCACACTGCTGTCTGGAGCCCATGTCCATACTGGATACACTCAGCCCCAATGGCAGTGGAGGCAACTGAGACAGCTGTGGTGGCCATGGACCCAGGGACTGCTAACTGCAGCCCCTGCTGGGCTCTCTCAGGTTCAGGAGGGTATCAGCTGTGGCCATCCTGGGACCATGGGCTTAAGTTCATGCCTGGAGCCGTCCAATCCCAACAATTGTTCCTTACATCTCTTTCTTCTGTTTGAGTGCTATTATTAATCCTTTCCCATTTCTCATCCACCAGTCTCCAAGCTAATGCTGGTCCCCAAGCACAAAGCACTTTTGCACTAGAGTATTACTTTCCAATGGGTTGTTTCTGGTGGCTCCCTCACCCTTCTGTTTATCCTCCAATATCAATCTGCTCACTCCCAGCTCCTCTGTACCTCTCCACTGATGATCCTCTGCCCCTGTAGAGATCCAGAAGTGTATAATCTTACATCTCAGGCTGATTTCATGGGTGTTCAGAGTGCTCTGGTAGACACCAGTTGAAATAGGGTCTCCTACTCCTCCACCATCTTGCCCTTCATTCTGTCAATGAATTATTATTAAATGATTTATCTCCTAAAGTATAAGCTTTATGAATCTGGTATAGAAATAGAAGTTAAATGACCAGCTTTCATTTTTTATGTCTTAATTAGCTCAAGAGGACAGAAGAAAATTTAGGATCCTGGCCTCCTTTTGAAATATCAGATATTAATAATCTATGGAAAGAAATGGTATTTTTTTCCTTAGCACAGACTTGTGTTCTATTGTGAATGCCAAAGTAAAACTTTATTATATTTTTTGTTATTCTTGCTCATGTTTTATTCTTCTCTTTCTAGCAGTATCCACAATTCAACTTGTAAAATATCTGAGTGATGACAAGAGTGTGAGATCTAAAGAGCTATCTTCAAAGTTCAGTGACAACCAAAAATCACAGAAAAAGTTAAAGCAAAAGCACAGACACAGCCTTTCTCCAATCCCAAACATAGTCATGGATACCAAGCATCACAGAAATGTCAGGCACAAAACTTCAGTATGTAAAATTCCTTGTAAGGACTACAGATTCCCACAAAGTTTTCAGAGTTCCCAGTCTCAAATGAATCCTATTCCTCCTTTAAATGTTGAAGATTATACCTCTGAAGACTTAGCATCTCTCTGCCATCCTATGTCCATGAGCCCTTGGCCTGATGTATGCCCCAAGACTCACAGAAGCAACACATATTCTTTGGACACTGGAGCTCCTATATGTTCCAAATGTTTCATGGAAATCAATAATTCTTTTCATAAATGTCTTGTAAATTCTGATGATGATTCAGACCCTGACTATACTTTACATCTCCAAATTCCCTTGGATTCTAAATATTCTCTGAGCCCCAAATCTATTAGACATCGTAAGACTTCTCGGAATAACCCTTTATCTCGATCCCTGGATCCTAAACATCCTGTGGGCATCCACTGTCCTTTACATCGAGAGGATTCTAAATATTCCTTGGGTTCAACTTCTTATTTACATTGTGAAAGTTGCTCAGCTCTTCAAAATCTCATAGGCTGTACTGTTACCAGTACCTTTCCTATGAATCCTCAAAATACCCTGGGCTACCATAGTACCCCTGTCTCAGAGAGTGTTACTGACACCAGTAATGTTCCTGGCCTTGAAAATGAGGGCAAGTTTAACCTTACCACTAAACTTGAAAATGAGGCCAATCCTGACAATGAAATTAAATTAATCAGTGCTGGAAATCTCAACGATAAGGCCAATGGCAAAGAGAAGCCTCTTCTCAAAGATGAGACAGACCATGAAGAAGAGACAGACTCTGAAGATGAAAAAGATCCTGAAGATGAAGTAGATTCTGAGGATGATAACACCACCAAAGATAAGAAAGATCCCAAAGATAAGTCTGACCCTGATGACAATGATCCCAAAGATAGCAATGCTGAAAAAGATGCAGACACAGACAATGGATCTGATCCCAGTGGTGATGTTGACCCTACAAGTGGAGCTGATTCCAACAGTGATGGTGATTCTAACAATGGAACTGATTCCAACAGTGAACCTGACTCTAACCTTGATAATGCCACTAACAATGATGTTAACTCCAAATATAGCACTGATTCTGATGGGAAAAAACACACCAATAATTCAGACAGTACCTCTGGCCTAAACAGTGGTGTTGATCTGGACTGTACTGCTAATAGCAACAATGGTCTTAATACAAACTATAGTTCTGGGCTCCAAAATGGAACTGGCCTAGACTACACTTCTGATTCTATTAGTGGTGCTGGCTTCAACAATAGACCTGGCTCTAAAATCAATAGATCTGGCCCCCAAAACAATGCCTCTGACCCTCAAAATATCCGATCAGGCCCCAACCTCCCTGAGTCCATTAACAATGGCTCTGGCCCCAACCTCAGTTGTCCTGGCCCCAATAACAATGGCCCTGACTTTAAAATAGAACCTGACTCTAACTCTAATGTCAGGCCTAGTAATACTACAAGTCACAGTAGTGCAATTAGGTCTAACAAGTATGCTGATTTCAGGTATGATACAAAACCCACCATTGCTACTGACCACAACTATACAGCTGTCCCAAACTGTGACTCAGATCTTGACTGTGTCTCAGGATTCATCCATGCAGTAGGTGCTATCCTTCTACCCAACGTCAACTATATTGCTAGAAACAGTTATGCTGCCAAACCTAGCTCTATAGCTACCACTGTCAATGCCACTGACACTAGCAATACAACCAGTTGTAGTGGTGCTATTAACCCTAGCTATACTCCTGGCACCACCTATACCTCAGGCACTAACCATCACCTTAGATTAACTCATGTCTTTAGATCCAATCTTGTCACCAACACAAATGATGATGCCATAAATATCCATAATGTTCATAATTCTACCAATACTAGCAATATTAATCTCTCTGAGCCTGAATTGGAAATCAGTGCCAGTTCCCCCATTCCCAATATTGTTAATGGTAACTACCCCACTTTTGCTGCCAGCACAAACTATATTTCCACAGCTGGAAATTTTACCACCTCTGAATTTTCTGATTCATCTAAGCTTAGTATAAATTATACAATTTTTGATAACCACAAATTTGGCGCCTGCCTCAAAGACACTACTGGCTCCATGGATTCTGTTAGCCTTAAGTATACTACTGAGTCCAAGGATGTCCTTGATGCCAAGGAATCTGGCTTTTTAAAAGATTTCTCAAAGGTCCAGAATTCCATTGTTATCAAGGATCCTACCAATTTAAACTTTCACTCCAATTCACATATTCCATTCCTTAGTTTTGACATTATATTAGAAGCTGAACCACCAAATGTTGTGAAGTTTGCTGTATCATCAGGTGCTGTGAATCATTTTTTAAGGTAAGTTTATATAAATGTAGACTTTAAATTTCTTCTCCATTTCTTATAATTCAAAGTGTTAGGTCACTGAACATGACTAAAAAACTTCCTTTTTAAAATTTATTTAAGTATGCAATCCATGGAAGAGAGAAGATAAAATGTCTGGTATTACTTCTTTATTGAACCTGGTAGCCAGCAACACAGTTTTCTATTTGAAAGATCCATCTGCTATATAGCTTGTAAATAGAAAAATGGCCTTGACTATGCTGTGGCTGGCTCATTCACTACCTCCATCAAGGGTACAATGGCCAAGTGTTTGTTTCTTCCCTCTATTTGCAGAGAGAGCAAAGTTGAATGAACTTTAAATACCATGAATAAAGACATTTGAAACTATTATTTCCCAAAATCCCATTTTATAATGAAGCTAGCAAAAGCAGCTATAACTATTATATTCTAATTTCTCATTAAATAAATAGAATTTTAATTAGTTTGACGACATAATATTAAGGAGCAAAGAAGCCTAAACTTTTTCTACTTTTGACTTAAAATTTGCTTTTTTCTTATATCTCCTAAAAATTATATCAAATGTCTCTTCTAACACTCTGAATTGCATGCACAAACTAGGATTTCTAAATTTTGGAAGGCTATTTTTTACAGCAGCAAGTAATACTCTTTTTGATGAAATTTTACCACCATACTGTCATTGAGACATAGTCAAGTTGGTACACATTGAATTTTATTTTTATTATTCTTCATTAGACATGGTAAACAAATACATTTAGATTATAGTGTTTGTGTGGATAAATATGCAACTTAAAAAATTACTTTGTTTTCTACTAGAATGTGTAATTGAATATATATATATATATATTCAATGTGTAATTGAATGTATATATATGTACATATATATATACACACACATATACATACATACACACACACACATATATATATATATGGCATATATAAACAAAATTAAAGTACAAAATAGGCATCTTTCCAAAGCTTTTACTTTAATAAAGAACAATTTCATGATTTTCCCAAAAGAACCATTTCTTTGGAGACAGTTGTAAATACCTAGTATAGTTTTATAGCTCCACCTTATGTAAGTTTTAGGGTAATGTCATTATAAGTAATAAAAATAATATTGCTAAAATACAAACCACAACATTAGAAAAAAGAGAAATTTACCCCAGTTGTTTTATACAAATGAACTTCTGCAATAGTATGAAAACTTTAAAAATATGTTTATTTTATGGATTTGGTGTTTTGGGATGAATGAAAATATGGTTATCATAAGTTTTAGTTTACTAGTTAAGGAATATTTTGCTGTTAGAATCCTAGTATATAACAACTATATTTCCTAAGTTTGGGTATGTAAAACGTATCGTGTTAATTTTAGATGAAAACTACCTGCAAAATAGGGCATTTCTCTCCTTCCCCAAAAAACAATTTTTTTTTTTAATGGAGGATACACAAACAAAGCATTCTTCTAGAAGAATGGATGATTTCTTTCCTTCAGAGCTTCCACATTTTTCCTGGTTTATTACATCCTTGTCCATATTTCCATCATAAACAACTACAATAGGGAAACACAGGTACTTTCCCCATTAAAACAATTTAAGAAGAGAAGCTCCCTTTAAAAGGAATAAAATTTTTCTACTAACCACAAATGAACCAAACAACCAACTTAACGTCAGAACATTTAGTCAAGCCATTTGTATCATCTTCATTCATTATTTGAATACGCATTTAATAATTAAACAGTGTAGAAGTCTTCGAAAATATGCAAAATGAGAAATATAGTGCCCTTTAAGGTGCTTTTAGCCCACTTAATAGGGAAACAAATGCCTATTTGAGGATAGAAGCTATATGAAGACAAATAAAATGGCATCTCACTGAGTTTCTAGAATGGTTAGAAAACATTTTGGTTGTTCAGATCACAGGTCACCAATGTATTAAAGTAGTTGGAAATATGGGTGTATTAATTATTACACTGTGTTGCACTTTTCAGAAATAACCCAACAAGATCTTAACTCCTGAAATTATCTTCCTTTTTGTGAAGGTTAACATTCACTTCCATGGATTTTGGTTTTTGAATATATTACTAAGATCCTGGTATCATTTAATAAGTTACCTAGAGGTTATTTACAATTCTGAAAAACAATATGGTTCCATATAGAATAGATAAAAGTAATAGCTTATCTTTCTCAAACTTTGAAAATTGTTTTTATTGATAAAAATTTTACTCAAGGATATAATTAGTTGAAGTACTTGACAGATTCCAGTGTACTTAAGAAAAATTGCATTAAGGCCATTCAAAGAAGGGGTCATCTATGATTTATGGTAGATTTTTTTAAAAAACAAAGATGATTCAGTAGTGATATTGAAGGAAATTTTCATATAGGATAGTCTATTATAACCAGAGTTTTATAAATAGAATTATATAGGTCTTCTTACTGTGACAGATGTCTCAACATACCAATCAAATGTGTCATGCTTTTTGCACCAAAGTTCTCTTAAATTAGTATCTTTGTTAATTGCTCCTAAATTAACCAACAAAAATGCTTTTGTTTATAAATATCTTGTATCTTTGAGGAAGCCTACAGATTATCCTTGGTTCAGGAGAGGCTAAATTTGTAGCATAATATCATCAGAGTGGATTAACTGGAGTGGCCAGAAGTTTTCATATTTTCATTTCAAAATGGTTGACCCAATGTATCACTTTTTTTAAAAAAGATTTTATTTATTTATTTGACAGTGAGATCACAAGTAGGCAGAGAGGCAGGCAGAGAGAGAGAGAGAAGCAGGCTCCCTGCTGAGCAGATAGCCCAATGCGGGGCTCGATCCCAAGACCCTGAGATCATGACCTAGGCTGAAGGCAGAGGCTTAACCCACTGAGCCACCCAGGGGCTCCCCATGTATCACTTTCATCCTGATCATAGAGTCATTAAAATACATGAACAGGTTTAACTCTTCTGCTTAATATTCATTGAAATAAATCTTAGTTAAACCTAACCTTTAGGCATAATAGGTATATAGTACTCACATACTCCAGATAATCAAAGCAATGTCCTGCCTTGTAGTTTCTTAATTAAATATGTTTACATACAGATAAACAGTTTTTCTCTTTCTAGCTTTTTAGGGATATGCTGTGTTTTGTCAGTGGGAGACATGTTTTCTGGGGATTTTCAATCTAAGATACAGTAAACCATCTCCTATCAACTTGCTCAAGGTCTGTTAATTATTAAACTGCTTTACTGAGGTCATCTGTGCACCAAACCTTTCCAATAAAATCACTCCTTTATATATCAATTTGTTCATATTTCTTTTTAATACTGAACCGCTTCCATGATATCCTATTGCTGGATTTGTTGTTAGATAAGACAGGGTCCTGGAAGTGTTTAATTGAAATACAGTGAACTGAGTTGGAACCTCCTTTGAAGTTCATTAGTAAAAGATCTCAAACTCAATGTAACTAAATAAATAATATTGAGTAAATACAAAAGTTCCTCCTACTAACCATGTGAACTACCCATTGTTCTTTGAATAGTTTGGGGAAAAAAGCAATTGGTGATTTGCTACAAGATCAAAGTCCCAGATTGAATTCAGCCTTCTTTCTTTATGTACACTATGTATAGTTTTCTGAGCCAACCACAAACTTTTAATGACCTAGGTGAGCAATCCAAAGGAAAACCAGTTACTCCAAGCTCAAAGTAAATTGCACCTTATTACTGCCCCTACTGCAGAAAATCTGTGCAAATGACCTTCTTTCTGAAGGAATTTCAAAATTATGTATTTTCCCTTATGGCTCAAGTGCCTTTGGCCTTGTCCCCTCAAATGTAAGGATCAATGATGCATCTTATCTGGACAGATAGAATAAAACAGACCAAATCGACTTAAGTCCAAAAATTGGTAGGGACTAACTTAGGATAACTTTAAGACTATCACTCAACATCATAAATCTTAAATAATTGACTAAAGAGACATTTTATTCTCAAAAAGGAGATTTCACTAGATTTTCAAATCTCAGAAATGTTTGCTACAATGACACCAGGGTAGATGTGCATTCAACAGCTATAGGATCTGTAAAGTCTGCCGTGTTCCAGGCTTGAAAAAAAATGAAGCAGCTGTGTCTGAATTTATTTCATCTTCTACTTGAGGGACAATTATTAAACTACATTTTCCAAAATATTTAAGTCTCAGTTTGGATGTATTGAGTATCAAAGACAATAAATGCAAAATGATTAAATAAGCAAGATATGAAATTTCAGGTTTTGTCTCTCATGAGGCATGTCAACCAATCCACTTCTATAGATACTTGGATTCATTAAGTAGAATGTTTATGGGATAGAAACTGTTGATTCAGTGTAATAGAGTCCCTCAATAAAATGAAGAACATGGATAAGAAGGTAGTAGCAAGAGATGATTATATTGGAGGTGAAGACAAAGGAAATAATGTTATATGGAGACAGAGGGATATTGTGGAATAATAAATATGATTGCAGTAATCTTTACTTTTTAGCATATCATTGAATCCCAATATGTTCTGACTTGTCCAAGTCCATTTGTAAAAGAAAAATATTTCTTCTATGCCATCCTTTGTACTTCCTAACCTACCCTTATCTCATCTCACACACACACACACACACACACACACACACACATACACTTACACACAGACACACACACACAACTGCAGACTTCAAAGTTTCTAATAAGAATATAAGCACCCTACATTAACAATTTTTCACTTATTCACCACCAGCTTCTGATTTTCCCATTCTGAGGTCATTCTAACACCCTAACATGCTAACCCCATTTATGAAGTAACCAAGATTTCAAGCTGCCCAGCTAAGTGTGCTTCCTGATTGCTGACTTTTAAAAGTTTATCTGCTAATGTATCTGCTACCACCTCATTTTTACCCTTTCGCAGAGAACCTATACCAACGTGTGTGTGTGTGTGTACACATACACACACGCACACACAGAGTTGATAAATTTTTATGCTTTGGGGTTACTTTGAGGACCATAGCCATCTGAGTTTTCACGGAAATTTTAATAATAAGATCGTTTTATTACAAATAACTGATTTTGGGTTTTTTTTTTAAATAACTGATTGTTTTATAAGAAGTTAGGAACAATCTGGTTGTTCATACTTATTGTCTTGGTACTTCCTGAATAAAAAGATGACCAATCAAGTAGTAAATGAAGCAGAAATAATAGAAGAAACAAGCACCAGCACTACCTTATTTCATTACATAAATATTATACCACAAATGGACAGTGACCACAGCCAAGGAGCATAGTTCATCTTACCTGACTACACAGTAATAGATAATGAGGCAAACAAAACTTTATTCTAGGCCCTGAAAAGACCATTTCTAGATAGTTGCAAAAGGCTCTGAATCAGAATAAGATTGCTAACTGTGAGAGTTTTAAGCAAAAGGTCCAGAAAATTCAGTTCTCAGTATGCTTGTTTTCATGGCTTTATACTACTCTTGAATATAGTTTACAAATGGAATATGATATGACATAACAAAAGATTAGTAATACAGCAATGTTGGAATTAGAAAACACATAAAAATAAACTTCAGTGTAAATATCCGGGCAGCCATTTCATAACCAAGATTTAGTAGCACTTACTGTTTGACATGCATTCTTGAGTTTTACGTGTAGTAGTTCATTTAAACCTCTCAACAAGTCTATGAAGTTACATAATTTTCCCTTTTACCCTATTTTATAGGTGAGGACTATGTTATATAGTCAAGTAACCTTTTTGTGATCACACAGCTACCAAGTGAGAAAAAAATTCAGAGCCTATAATGAAAAATTTAAAGTTAATTTTATATATTGAAAATAACATATAATTAAAGGTATTAAGTATAATAAATATTGTGCTAACCTAATGTTAGCAGACTCCTAGGTTACAAAATGAATACTCCTATAGTTCCATCTTAGTATTTTAAGAGACATTATTATACTTGTGATTATAAGGTGATCACAGTAGTTTTTTGAACATGGGTTTGAAGCTTTGAAGGATCATGATATCTATGTTTTATATTACATAATCTATTTAAAATAGTCTATGGATAAAAATATTATTTTCTTTCATTACAGCTTTTAACTCCCAAGTTTCTTTTTATCCTGTTGTTGCAGCTCAACCTCCAGACAGGTAGCAGACAAAACCTTGACCCTTGATTAGTGAAAAGAATACCTTGAGATGGAAAAGACAAAGGCACAGCCAAGAAGGTTCTGAGGATATGAGCAAATAACTTCAAAACTTGCAGAGATCCCTGAGCAATGTTTATTATATGTTTATTCTCTTGTCCCTTCCTCATTACATGACCTTGTCTTTATTGCCCATGAGACCAAGAATGTTGCTTCAAAATGCCACGTTACAACTGCCACATTCATCTTGTTTGCTTCTGGCAGACTCTGAAGTTAGGAAAAGGACACATTGTGGGCCTTTCTAGCCATCATAAAAAATTATTTTGTGTTGTTAATGACTAAAAAGTGCAGTCAGATTTTTCAGCCAGAAGTTTTCTCTTTTTTTTGTGTGTAAGTCTCTGTCTCCAGAAGAAGATTGTCTTAACTTTGAAGAAATTTTATGACAGATGATTTTAATATTGTGATAGTCACTTAAAAAATCTGACAGATGTTTTTAAAATTGTGATAGCCACTCTAGCTTTAATATCAACAATAATAAATTGTTATTTTATTGTTAATGTTTATTATTGTTATTGTTTTATGAATGTGGTACACATAATTAAAATAGTTAAGACTCCAGTACTGTGCAGTGTTTGCTTAACTTGCTATTTATCCCGATCAACCTTGCTAACCTAGAAAAATTGATAACATATGTCATTTACCAAGAAGTTTTAGAGATGAATGAATTGGGAACGATAAAGCTATCTTTGGAGCTGCCATAAAGCAACTCAAAAACTGGTATAGAGTTTTTATAGCTCCTGGTAAAAGAGCTGAAAAAAATAGTGAAATAATTAAAAGAACATTGTATTTCTTTCTTTTGCAGTTACAAACAGGGACTGGGTTGCCAGGTGTACTTAAAAAAAAAAACACCTTTTTGCCTAATAATTACCAGATACACTTTGTGGACTATAGGACATACACATAGGTAATCAAACCACAATGACCTACCAAGCCTTTTTATAAGATTTCCACTATTTGTCACCACTCTCTGTATGCTTATTTTTATTACCTAAATCCAGCCCTCTGCCCACCTAGGTTATTCTTCCTACTTTTCCCTACATTGTCTTGCTTGTATATATAGGCACCATATTCTTTTTGGTAAAAAAGAATAAAAAAGTCTTAACTAAGACTTTTCTCATTCAAGAAGTCTCTGACTTCAATGAACAATATTGCTCCTTCCATTTTCAAGTTTCTATTCTTGAAGTTAGCTGAGAAAGATCATAGTACATTTGGGGAACTACCCATAGTTTGGCATGTGCATAATAGGTACATGGTGTGACTGGGGTTGGTGAGAAGTGAGATTGGAAAAGTAATCAGGGACCTTGTTTGCCTTTAGAAAGTTTATACCTCATCCCAGAGGTAACAGGTAACCTTTGGATTTAAGGAGAAGGCATAGAGGAAAAGAGAACAGAAAGACACCTGTTGTGGTAGTCCAGACTCAATTCAAAAGAGCTTGAAATAAAGCAGTAAGAAGTAAGAATGGAGAAGCGAGAACACAATTGAATGCTATTAAGACAGAAATGACTGTAATTACTGGATTATTTGATGTAGGAGGAAAGAAAGTGGGAAAAGTTCAGTTTAACTCCATGCTTTCTGATGTGAAGAGATGATGGTGCCATTAACCAAGTTGCCATATAGAGGAGAATGGAGGAGAGGTGGTGGTAATGATACCAGTTTGTGACAAATGAAGATGGAGATTCTTGAGTAACATTTAGGTGCTGTTGTCCAAAATTCATCTAAGATAAGCCCTGACATTCAACATACTCCAGATGTAGAAGAAAAAAACCATAGTGTTTATCGATCTTGTACTCATATGTAAGGTTAGCAGTTGTATAAAGCATTATCAGAATATTTGATCTTAATATTACCCTTTAGAGTCATCATCATATGTAATAGTAGCTTTATTGAACATAAAAATAAGGAAAAAAAGGCTCAAAAAAGATAAAATGTGTTGTTCAATGCTGCAGATACAATTAAAAGAACTTGGAATTGGAACACTTGTATGGCAGTGATGGGTTCCAAAGTAACCTGTGGCTCAGGAAAAAAATGCTTGTAACAAATTCTCTGACTTCCAGAATCAACATCGTGTTGTTTTATGTTAAATTAAAGATGAAATACTTCAAGAAGAAAGTAACAAATTACATGTTTACATAAAACAACTACTATAAATATAACTAATTTTTGTAGATTTCTGTGCTTTCTGTAGTTATAAATAACCTAAAAAATAAATTTCCTTTTTTCCCCTATTTTTTTTTTATTTTGGTAAAATGTAGTTAACATAAAATTTACCCATCTTAACTAATTTTCAGTGTACAGTTTAATGGTATTAAATATATTTATGGGCACCTGTGTGATTTAGTTAAGCATCTGACTCTTGATTTCAGCTCCGGTCATGATTGCAGTGTCTTGGGATTGATCCCTGTGTTGGACTCCACACTGAGTGCAGAGTCTGCTTGTCACTCTCCCTCTCCCCACTTGTGTGCACTCTCTCTCTCTAAAATAAATAAAATATTAAATAAATAAATAAATATACTCATAATATTGTCCAAACATCCCCACCATCTACCCCATAACTCTTTTTATCTTGTAAAATTGAAACTCTATATCCATTAAATAACGCACAATCCAATCCCCAGCCCAAGGAAACCACCATTCTACTCTCTGCATCTGTGATTTTGACTATTCTAAGTATGTCATATAGTGGAATGATACAGTATTTGTCTTTTTGTGACTGGCTCTTTCACTTAGCATAATGTCCTCAAGGTTCATCCATGTCAAGCCATATGTCACAATTTTCTTCCTTTCTAAGGCTGAATAATTTTTCATTGAATATTTATACATTTTGCTTATCTTTCATCCAACAATGGATACTTGTGTTGCTTCCATGTTTTAGCTTTAATGAAATAATGCTGTTTATGAACATGGGTGCACTAATGTCTCTTCAAGACTTTGCTTTCAATTCATTTGAGCATACATAGAAGTGTAATTGCTTCATCATATGGTAATCCCTTCTTTTTTTGTTTTTGGTGGAACTGCTATATTGCATTCCACAGCAGCTATACCATTTTATATTCCCACCAATGCTGCACAACAGTTTCAATTTCCCCACATCCTGGGCAGTATTTGTTATCTTCCTTTTTGTTGCTTTCTGGGGTTTGTTTTGTTTTGTTTTTATATAGGTCCCATCCTAATAAGTATGAGGTGGCATCTCGATGTTTTGATTTGCAGTCCCTTAATGATGAGTGATGTCAAGCATCTTTTCATGGACTTATTGGCCATTTTTACATACTCCTTGGATAAATGTCTATATAACTCTTTTGCCCATTTTTGAGTCATTATTTAATTCTTTTTATTGTGGAATGTTAGAAGATCTCTATATATTCTGAATATTAACCTCTTATCAGATACATGATTTGCAAATATTTTCTCCCAGTGTGTTGGTTGTCTTTTTACTCTATTGATGTTGTCTTTTGATGAACATTTTAAAAATACTTCATAAAATCTCATTTGTCTGTTGTTTTTTCTTTTTTTGCCTATGCTTTTTGCCTATGCTTTTTTTGCCTATGCTTATACCGAAGAAATCACTGCCAAATCCAGTGTCGTGAAGATTTCACCTTGTTTTCTTCTAAGAATTTTATAGTTTTAGGTCATACATTTAGCTTTTTGATCCATTTGAATTAAGTATTGTATATGGTGTTAGGTAAAGGTCCAACTTCATTCTTTTACATGTGAATATCCAATTTTCCCAACACCATTTCTTGAAAAGACATCATCAATGAATAGAATTGGGAGCCTTATAAAAAATGATTTAACCATGCATGTAAGAATTTATTGCTGGGCTCTTTATTTTTTTCATTGGTCTATATGTCTGTCTTTATGCCAGTACTGCATGGTTTTGAGTCCTATATCTTTTCAATAAGTTTTGAAATCATGAATCACAAGTCCTCCCTCTTTGTCCTTTTTTCAAGACTATTTTAGCTATTTTGGGTCCCTTGCGGTTCCAAATACATTTTAGGATGGGTTTTCTATTTCAGCAAGTAACATCATGGGATTTTGATAGAGATTTCATTGAATCCATATATCATTCTGGGTAGTGTTGACATCTTAACAGTGTTAAACATGAGATGCATTTCCATTTATTTATGTCTTTTTTTTTTTTAGTAATTTTTGTAGTTTTCACTGTACAAGTGTTAACTTCCTTGGTCAAGTTAATTGCCTTTTTCATGGTATTGTAAATGGAACTTTTTTTTTATCACTTTGTTATTACTTTTATTTCAAAATATATTTATGGGGCGCCTGGGTGGCTCAGTGGGTTAAGCCTCTGCCTTTGGCTTGGGTCATGGTCTCAGGGTCCTGGGATCAAGCACTGCATCATGCTCTCTGCTCAGCCGGGAGCCTGCTTCCTCTTCTCTCTCTGCCTGCCTCTCTGCCTACTTGTGATCTCTCTCTGTTAAATAAATAAATAAAATCTAATATATATATATAATATATATATAATATATATATTATATATATATATTCACCCCAAACAATAATGTAAACAAAGTATGAGATTCTTTTTAAATTGTTCATTCTTAATGCTTACAAATGCAACTGATTTTTGTGTGTTGACTTTGATTCCTGCTACACTGTTGAATTCATTTATTATCTCCAGCTCTCTCTGTGTGTGTGTGTGAGAGAGAGAGAGTGTGTAATCATTAGAGTTTTCTGTATGTAAGATCCTATCATCTGCAAACAGAGGTAATTTTACCTCTTTCAATTTGGATGCATTTTATTTCTTTTTCTCACTTAATTGCTCTGGCTATAGCTTCCACCACTGTCCTGAATAGAAGTGATGAAAGAGGGCATCCTTTCTTTATTTCTGATCTTGAAAGAAGTCTTTGACCCCTGAGTATGATATTCACTGTGGGTTTTTCATATATAACTTCTATTAAAGTAGTTTCCTGCTATCCCTAGTGTATTATGTGTTTTTAATCATAAAAGAATGTTGAATTTTGTCATTTTTTCTACATTAAATGAGATGATCATGTGATTTTCCTCATCATTCTGTTAATGTGATATAATTTACTGATCAATTTTCATATGCTGTGATATCCTTGAATTCCATGAATAAATCTCACTTGGTCATGATGTATAATCCTCTTAATATGTTGCTGAATTCTGTTTCTTAGTATTTTGTTGAGGAATTTTGTG